GTTGGCAGCAGGTGGGGGCGCGGGCGCAGGCGTGCTTCAGGGTGTGCGCGTGGTGGGGCATGCGCCTCGTGCGTCTGGTTAGGCGTGCAATGACACGAATGCGCACGATAGAGCATAGGCGCTTGCGCGAGGGCGTCTCCATGCGAGGTTTGCATGCATTTGTTGCGTTTGAGCGTCCGATGATGATCTCCTCTTGACTTGACTCGATTCCAAAGACTTTAAGCCAATTATGATCCTATCAGTTTTGGAAAAATCAAGAAACAGAAACAAAAAACATAAAGCTTGATTTCATTGTTTCCAAAATTTATAAACAATTTTAGAAATGTCGAGAAACAAGAACAATTATAAAACACTTGTATTTCTCAAAATTTGAAAATGAAAACAAGAAACAAGAAACGAGAACGTTACCAAATGAGTCATTCATTCCTCCAATTAGATGCATGATAACTATTTTAGTTGATATGATTTATATATATGTATATTTTCACTTCATAGTGAAGGTTTCAGAATGGGCTTTTTCTTCTTTTCTTTTTCGGTATGCCGCTCCGCGAGAAAGGAGCGAAAGAACGTTCTTCTATAATTAATTTGTTCTAGGAACTGAAACTAAAAAATTTGAAAGATTTGAATTTCTCTCTTAATTCTTTCCTACCATATTTTTACATGTCCAAGACACATAATATGATGTTAATAGGTACACTTTTCAAAAGGAAAGACTTAATTTCCAATAAATTCTTGCTCATCCTTTTTTGTTTGTCTACTTTAATATGGGGGGCAGAGGAAGGTGAAAAAGCAAGAAAGAGAGTTATTTTATTTCCCTTTTAAGTTACAAGTATTACCCATATTTTAGCAATATAAATTAACTCAAAAAAACTCTCTCCTCACATAGGTGGCATTGAAAGCGAACTACTATATTTTGAATTTTTTTCCTCATTTATTTATTGAAAATAGATTTTCAAAAAGCTTATTTTCCTTAGAATTGGTTGCAATGAAAGAAAAATACATATGCCTTTGTAAAGTTGTTGGGTGGAATACTATCATCTATTTATGTATTATAATCCTGTGTCGTTTGAGTCTTTTTAGTATAATAAAAGTGTGAATTAGTCGGAGGATTCGAACCTCTAACCTTATATATATGTATGTATACATATATATTTTAATTCAACTCTTACAAGGTATCTACAGATGTTTGGATTGATACTCGTCCTCTGAATTGATTTTCTACTAGCTACAAATAGTTAATAGAGGTTTGAATAAGATAAACAAATAATAATAATTAGGCAAGAGTTATTTTCAAAATAAAGGGTAGAAAAACCCATTTTTATTTGGATATCTTATAGTTTCACAAAAGTTGAAAGGATTACGACACATAAAATATAAGCATGACGAGTTAAGCTCGTAAACATAAACACATATAGATTCCCAACTTTTATAGATCATACGTGCATTATTCAAAAACATCGATTTCTTATATTGAAATAGCATTTCGTCATCCTACGAAACGAAATTACAAGATGTATAAATATCTAACTTTTCTGGACTCAAGCTTTAAATTGCATCTGGAGAGCGTCAATGACTTTTTTGTCGACTTGGAAGGCCTTCATGAGAACATCGAGGGAGATCGGAGGATCAGATCCAAACACAGCATTAGCAATGGTGATAACACCTGGGTTTTGGCTGCTGAGTCCAGCGAAGGCAAGAGCTGGGCCGTGACCAACATTGAACTGGAAGTGGATGAGACCAATGGGAAACACAAACACATCTCCTTTGTGAAGCACTTTGGTGAAGAGTTTGTTGGGGTTGGAGGTTACAAAACCGACGAGGAGAGTGCCTTCGATGACAACGAGAATTTCAGTGGCTCGAGGGTGGGTGTGGGGAGGGTTAAGCCCGTAGGGAGCGTAGTCGATTCGAGCCAAAGAGATGCCAAGAGTGTTGAGTCCAGGGAGTTTGTCAACATTTACTAGAGTCACATTGGAGCCCTGTTTGTTCATTGTGTTTCCAGGAATGTTGAGCCCCCGGAAGAAAAAATCTTCAGCTTTCACAAGCTTTGGGTCCTTGCAGAACTTCCCATTCACAAACACTGCATTAAACAGAAAAAAGAGAGAGAAGATAAAAGAGGTGGAGTAATAAACACATTAGTTATGAGAACATTGCTGTTTCTTTGTTTCTTGTTTTTTAGTTTTTAATAAATAAAAATAGACCTACTTTTGGTAACTGTTTCCCTTGCTTTTTTCTTTCTTTTTTATTGAAAAGAGAAACAAAAGACATTTGGTAACTCTTTCTTATTCTAAAATTTTAACTTGAGAAAAATAAATTTTATGTATGAAAATTAATTTTTTAATTGAATATTAATTTTTTATATGATATTTATTTATTTAAAATATGTATTATGCATTTCACAAGTCAAAAATGATAAAATAATGAGTTTATTTATATTTTGGAAAGCATTGGAAAAAAAGACAGACAAAAAGTTTGATTTTGTTATTTTAAAACTTTTCTTAGAAACAAGAAACGAGAAACATGAACCGTTACCACTAAATGTTTATGTTTGTAAAAAAGAAATGAAAACGAGAAACAATAACACTACTAAACGGGTCATAATATTTCCAATTTGTTCAAAGAAATGAGTTTAACCCTAATGCAAGAGAAGTTCACAAAAGATAGAGAGTACCAGCAGAATCTGGTTCATCAACTGCAACGCAAAAGTCTTGAAGTGGGCTGGGATCAAAAGCAGATATTGCAACAAGTGCTGCTTGCAAAACCAAAAGAAAAACAGCTGAAAGAAGACCAAAACTTGTCATTTTTTTGGTCTAGAAAAAGTTCTCTAAATAAAATTGTTTCTTAAGTGATGAGAAAACTCTTGCAATGGATTGAGTTGTTTTTATAGAGATATATATGAGAGATTATGATTGAATTAGTCAGGTTTTTATTGAATGGAAGCAGATCAAAAGCTAAGAAAAATTAAATCTTTCAACCTTACCCACTAAATTGAATAATATTTTGTTTCATATCCATCAACCTTTCTTCAACTACTCCATTAAATTAATCATTAGTTAGTACTAATTTAGTTTCTACACCTAATAATTAAGCATTTAAAATCTTCCCTTATAAGTTTTCTTGTTCAATGAAAGTTGGTTTTTGGTGCTTGGACTTTTATGTTTTCCTTTTTGTTCTAGAACTTAATCTATAAAATATGGTCCGAGATCATAGAACCGACGCTGTTTTTGTGCAATATCTATAGTTGAATTACACATTTAGTCTCTAAATTTAAATGATTATGTAACATGGAGTAGCCATTAGCTTACTTTGATAATCATTTCATTTTTTGTTTTTAAAAAATTAGCTTATTTGTCACTGCTTTAAAAAGTTTTTAAAATAAAATTCAATTTTTGAAAATTAAAAAAAAGGAGTAGATTTTAAAAATTTGTTTTGAAGTTTGGAATTTGACTAAAAATTTATATATATTTTCAAACAAAGTTTGTAAGAAATTATGAAAAATCAGGTATAATTTTTAAAAGTAAAAAACCAAAAACGAAATAGTAATACGGGTTCTTTAGGAATGAGTTTTTAGAAAATGTTATAGCTTACTTTTAGAGTTAATATTATTATTTTTTAAAAATGTTGGAAGACAGGAGCCTACCTAATAATGTTTTCTTCCTACTTTGATTGAAAGCATATGCAGACATTTATTTTCGAGGTTGTTTGAAGTTTTTTTTTTCCCTCATAAATTGATACCAAAGACAAAACAATTATAAAAAAAATCTTAATAATTTAAGATATAAATTTCAGTATGAAAAGCACTTAAGAGCCGAGCCCTTGGAAAGAATATATCTTTGTTACTCACTACTACTAAAAATTGACAAGAAAAAAAAAACACCTTTTCCTATATTTTTCTCTTCTATTTGTCAAAAATTTAATGATAATTAGTAAAAAAAAAACAGTGTTAGACGAGTCAACAACTAACACCAAAGTATTATTCTTTTCTTAATTTAAAAAATGAAGTAGTTAATTAATAAAATATGTTAATTTCTTATCTATTGATGCAACAAATTATTTTAACCTAAACTTTAGGTTGATTTTTCTTTTATTCTTTTTTTTTTAAGTACGATCTATTTAAAAAAATATATGATAACAGTTTATTTTTTAATATATCAAACAAATACAGAAAATAATAAATCAAATTAATGATAAAGAAAAATATTAATATGTTTACCAGTTAAAGTTATGCTTGGTGACCAAATTGGGTTACTTATATTAGAACAGAAGAAGGATTTAGATCTTCTGAAAAAAAAAAGAAAAAAAGAAAAAAGAGAGAGGGTTTGGATGAAAATGATTATTGTGTAACCTATTGCATTGAAATAAATTTCAGCACGACCTTGGTCTTAAATCGTTTGTTCGTCAGTTTCTCTTTAAGGTTAACACAACTTCCTGCTCAAGCGCGTGCAGTCATCAGAGCGGAATTGAATTGAAGAAAACACTCATAATTTTTTATCAAAAGTATTTAGATCTATATCCCCTCGAGAAGAAGACCAACTTTGTTTTTATAAAGGAAATCGATAAAAACGTTTTAAATACCTTAATTAATTAAAACGTTAAAAATGAATTGAAACGCTAGACAATTTATTCATTAATGTTTAAATAATAAATTAAACTGGAAATAAAATGTTTTCCAAATAAATAAATAAATAGATATATTACTTATTTTTCTATACAAATACACATTTTCCTTTGTCATTCCCAACAATCTCCCACAAATGACAAATAGAAAAAATAAAAAGTTTTCTAAGCAAAGAAAAGAAAATAAAGTTAAGCATTAATATCTTTCGATTTGAATTAATGCATAGTGAAATGAGACAACAACCTTAGTCATGAAAGTGAGTTACCTCTTGAACTTCCAATAATTATGGTTGAGACCCCACAACACATTTTAATCATTGTTTTCTGATTCTGCGATATTAATCAAGTGTTATTAATGGTCATGCACATAAAATCTCAGATCATCGTGAAAGCTCTGGAAAGAAACTTGTTGGAGATAAAAATAGCCTTGCCACGTAGAGAACAAAGAAAGGCCCAACTGACAAGGTTTTCCCTGAAGACTACCTCAAGTTCTTCCTTGAAGACCATCTGAAGGTCTTACCTGAAGATCGTCTAAAGGTCTTTGTTGAAGATCATTCAAGTGAGGAACAACCTTCCATACTTAGCCAAATACTGGACAGGAAGACCCCTGAGCACAATGAAGGTTTCCCTACTTAGAACATGCGCGTCCGATAGGCCGACCTTTGGCACTACATGCTCAAATGCTGGTCGGATCCCTTATTGGATACCCCGACCAATAAATAGGGCACTTCACTCATACCTCAGGTATCACATTCTAGCTCGGTCTCTATATTAAGATCAAACTCAAATTACTGACTTGAGTGTCAAAGTGTTTGTTCCTTTGTGTAGGTCCTTCCTTGCCAAGTAGCTTTCCAGCTCATTCCGAATGTTAAAGCTTTCCCAGTCGGCCTACCTTGACCAGGTCGTCATTGATTGACATTTGTTGCACAAACAAGACCCTTTAATTATTTCGTAAAGGCGACCCCACCTTCATAATCACACTATAATTTCTTCATCGAGTCTATCATAGATAAACCACTAAAAAAACTAAGCATGCAAACTTTTGAAAATTGTCCATCAAGTCTATACACGGACCACCCAAAAAAAGAGCTATGGATTCACACAATACAACTTAACATAAATGTCAAACATTAGGGTTTTAGTCGCATATATATTGAGGAGTCAAGAATTACCCTCCTTGTTAGGTCTTTGGTGAGAAGATTTGCTAAGTTTCTCTCTGACCTCACATACTCCAAAGAGATAACTCCACAGCAAGCTTTGCTGATTTCCATGAAATAGCTCATCCACCTAAAAGGTATGCAATTTGCATCACAATAACCTTTTAATACAACATGAAACTTGTTAAAGTGTAAATAATAATCCATTTAACCTCTAAGATACCTAAATAAACGATGAAGAGCAGTTTAATGGTCTTTACCAAGGTCTTTACCAGGATAGTAAATATATCTACTTAATCTACTCATAGCATATACAATATCAAGTCTATTATAGTTTATAAAAAATATAAGACTACCTATAATTTTGCATATTCAGATTAAGACACACTATCACCTTCATTTTCTTAAGTCTCATGCTAGCATCATAAAGTGCTCTTACAAGTAGATTATCAAAACAATCAAATTTCTTTAATATCTTCTCAATATTGTGTGATTGACATAGGAAGACTCATTATCATGTTTGCTTATCTTAACACCAAGTATTACATTAGTCAAGATCTTTCGTTTCAAAATATGAAGATAAAAGTAACTTGGTATTATTAATAATAATCTAAACTGTATGTCATTAAAATATAAATACATAATCACATAATCAGCTCCAAAAAAGTTTAAGTAAACTCACGTATCAAAGAAGCTTGTTTACTAAAATACTATTAAATTTCTAATACCATTGTTTAAGAGCTTGTTTAAGACTATAAAGATTTCTTTTTTTAACTTGTCTACCTTATTCTTTTGACTAGCAACCACGAAGCTTCTAGGTTGTGTCATATAAATCTCATCCTTTAAATCACCATTAAGGAACGTTGTTTTTACATCCATTACATATATTATCAGACCACAAATAGTTGCAAAAGCGATTGGAGATCTAACAGTAGCTATTTTTAGTTAAAAGGAGAATATGTATCGAAATAATCAATGTTATTATGCTTTTGTACATGTTCCACAACTACTAGTCTAGCTTTGAATTTTTTCAATGAACCATCTTGTCTAATTAAAGGAAAAAAATTACATCTAATAGGTTTATTTTCTTTAAGTAAGTCTATCAAGTCCCACTTCATCTATAAGATACATGCATGCTAATTGAACGTTTATCTTATTTGAGTTTTCAAACGGAAAGGTGATTCAGAAAAATTACTTTCACATGATCATAATCATCACAAATTAATTATTCTATCAATAATTAATTTAATTTCACATAATCATGTTAAAAAATTTCACCATAAAGAAATATTTTCTATAGTTTGTTAAATAATTTAGATAGCAACATCATATTGTTAATTAACACCAGATACACATGAGTAATTAATCAATCATATAAATCCATAATTTCCACCTTCAATAAAACTCATGGTTATGAATTAGACATGATAACATATAACTTCATAAAGAAATAAATTTAGTGACCATTATGCACTATTTAATGTATCATGCATTTATTTCTTTCAAGATCATAAATATGCTCATAATTAATTATTTATAACGAATAATTTTATATCTTAAAAAAAACTATATATTCAACTATAGTCAAGTATTACCTTAAACTACTGCTAAGAAGATCGTAGTTCATCATCAATTTTTATGAGCATCACATCTATTTCACATAGTAATAAGTAAGGAGATTATAGTCCAAACTAAATTAATATCAATAAATAATTTTCAATCTAATACAAATTCATAGCCAATTAAAAAAAAAATCTCAAATCTCAATAACCACACTAATTTAAGATGTGAGATCACACTTAGATTGACATACTCTATTACCTCATTTTTCTTCTTCAAGGTCCATCTTAAAACAACTCTCGCAATTATTTCAATTATCATAAATAATTATAAATTGTACAAAGAAGATAACAGCGAAACAACTCGCTTTAGCTCAGGCATAAAACACATTCCCCTACCGGGACCCTCCTTCAGTGGTCCACAGACAGGTTTATAATTCAATTTCAATTTTGGTAATTGGAGATCCTGTTTTTTAGAAAATCTTGGTATCCACCCCTATGTAACTTTGATGATATTGAATATTTGCTTTTAAATAATTGTC